CCTTCATTCAACCTTTAAGCCAAGTGCGTAAATCTTTACCAACCTCGGCGTACCTTGGAAAGTTTGCGTAAATGAGTTAGTTGTGTTTTTATTAGGTAAAGTTTAATTTTTCCTAAATTTCAGTTTTCATGCCATTTTACCTCACTGTCGAAAGTCGACATAGCTTTGGCTAACTGATATCGTTAAGAATCAGAGCTCGTATATTTCTTGCCACACCGCAGAAGACGTGTCCGGGCCACGATTTGTCCTGATTTTTCACGACAGAGGTATCGAGGACACGGACACTCTCTGAAACGCCGCGTTTCATGACACCTCGCGTGTCGGTATACGATTTGCTAAGTGCCATGGGAGTATCGTGGCCCTGTAAATTCCGCTAAATTACTTATTTCACGCAGTGCTCTGTCTCTAGTCCACAGTGTTTGCCTTCGCTGTGCCGTTACTGGCGCTGAATTTAAAGTCGACGTTCTCGCTCCTGCGGAGCTTTGTTTGTAAATCTTTCCCAGCGAGGATTTCCACCCACTTGTTGAATCCACTGTTGTTGAGTTTGCTGTTCTCTTTTATTTGCCTGAGATATTGGCTGGTGATTCACCGACCGTAAACATCGATATAATTCACAGATGAACAAACCCGTCTTCGTGAAATAAGACCCAGAGTTCTGTCGTCGATGGTAATCGGTTGCCTGGAAACCCATTATCGCTTTGACGTCACTACTCTGGATGACGTCAAGGCGGACACCAACCAAATTCGATAGATTCATAGCCAAGAGGGAATCGCGCTGGCCTTGCGATGCTCGTGTGATACACGCGCGCTTCGAGCTCGACGAGATTATAAACCTCGCGGCTCGGCTCTTCGCGCCTCGCTTCGCGAGGAATTATTGCCATAATCACTTTTGATGCTGTACCAAGAGTAAGTCATTGACAATCTATCAAGGGCAAGATAGTGTTTAAACTCAGGGTTAAGATTTAAAGGAGGATTAAATTTAACTAAAAAATCATGAGGTTTTTTTGTTCCTATTTTTTCTCGTTTAACAGAGGAAATATGAATAGCGCTTTCATTCATTTTATTATAAGTCTTTATACTTTCTTAGTAATGCATTAAGCTCTTTATTAGAAACACTACCAATATTTCTAAGGCGATATGCGATTTGAATGAATTCGGGTAGCGTGCCATTGTTTCCTGCTCTCAGTGAGCCATCTAGTAATTCAAGTCTGTTTAGAAGTTCTTGGGAGGTGTTATAAAAGAAAATGCCTCGGCCTTGCCGGCCTCTCCTTTCTCGCTGTCCTGTCCTATTTCTGGAAAGGGATCATCAACAAATTCTGGAGGCTTAATAAGTATGAAGCAGCTAGGGGTTCATTATACTCAACTGGTTGGCCTATGTATTGTGCCGCTTCCTCTGAAGGTATAATAACATCATACTCTGGTATGGATGATGACTATCGTGATGAGGGTATCTGTGAAGACGAAGATGCGGACGCAGATGGTAATGTTGATGAAAATCGTGATGAGGGTATTTGTGAATACGAAGATGAGGACTCAGAGAAGACGCAGATGCAGATGGTATATAGTAAAAAGACATAGGGGAGCCCTGTGCTAAAGGATTATCGGAGGGATCTAAAGGTACGGATCTAATATCTTGAGGGTTAAATGAAGAAAGGCCTAAAAGATTATGTTGGGCAATTAAAGCATTTTTAATTGCTTCTTGAGTAGAATCATTTGGCAATACTACGCCAATTGGTGACAACCATGATGATAATCTACTTTGGGAAGGAAATACGTCGGCAGATGATATTTGCTGCAATTGAGGAAATACATCTGATGATTTAACACTCGGAGTAAATGAACTCTTAATGAAACTGCCCACGCTTTTTAGAAAATTTACTACTGACATCGAAGCGGCATTTGCTGCCACATCTCCAATTGTTGATACTCCTGTTGACGCAATATCACCCAGAGTTTATAATGTTGATGATGTTATGTCTCCCACAGCCGAAGATACTTGTTAGCAAGCTGATTGCGAGGGAACTGCTTGGTATGAGGGAAAAGTACTTGCACTTTGCATCTGTCGCTGTATACTTTGTTGATTAGATAGTTCTCTTTGCATTTGTTCGTTTAACTGCTGCCGCTGAGCTTGTAATTCTCTAGTTTGTCTTAGTTGATTTTGCATATATTGTGATTGGTGGCGTGCCTGGGCTAGTTGTTGGCGTAAAGGCTCAAGTGACTGTTGCGTTGCCTGTAGCTGTTGTTGTACTTGTTGCTGTTGCTGTTGTAGCTGTTGTTGTACTTGTGGTTGTTGTGCTTGTTGCTATTGCTGTTGTAGTTGTTGTAGTTGTTGTGGTTGTTGTGCTTGTTGCTGTTGCTGTTGTAGCTGTAGTAGCCTCTGCGCTGTTGACTAAGACGTTCTTGTTGTTGCTGTTGTTCCACTCGTTGATTAAAAAGCTCTTCTTCTTGCTGTTGTTGTACAGTCCGTTGATCTAATAGTTGTTGTTGTAAATCTTGTAATTGCCGCTGTTGACGCAGTTCCTCTTGCTGATCACGAATATCATCTAGATCCTACCTATTTATTACAGCAGGCCGCCTTCGTTGCCGTCGTTGCCGTCGTCGTTGCCGTCGTCGTTGCCGTCGTCTTTGTACATTTGCTCTTGCATGAAAAAAAAATTCACCATCTTCTTATTCGATGATGTTGCCGCGTTCGTCTACTACCAGAACGTCGCCGTTGTCGTCGTCGTCGTCGTTTTCGTTTTGTATTTCTCTTACTGGAATATTTATATTGTATCTAGACATAAAACTTCTAGGAAAATTCCCTCGTATTTAAGGCTGTTGAGGCTGTCGATTTTCCTCTATTCTTGCATTAAGTCTTTTTAATTCTTCTAACATTAAATCTTGAGTTTTAGTGGATTTATCCTGTGATTCTAGAAGTACTTCAAATGCTTCTCTAAAAGCTTCACGTGCCTTTTGTTTTTTCAGTTCTTTGCGCTTTAGTTGCACCTAACTATCTTCGTAAGAAAATCTGCCTCAATTTTATCCCGTGAAAGTTTTTTGACTTGGTCAATATCCATTTTAATTAATGCGCTGCATATTATTTTTTTTTTACCCAGATAGATTTTCATTGTTTTTAACATTTTATTTAGTTCTTTCGTAGGTAAGACTTTGATTGAGTTTAGATAGTTTGCTATCTGAGTAAACTCCGGCAAAACGCCATTGTTTCCGGCCATAATAGATCCACCAAGCAGTTTAAGTCTGTTGATGAGTTGATGGGGGATAAATACCTCGCCCTACTTGATAGTTAGTAATCATTCATTATATTTCTATATTTCATTAGTGTTCCTTTTTTTTCTTTTTTTCGGTTAGTTTCAGCCACATACTCTGGAGTTGGATTTTTAGCTCTATTTCTACCATTAATTTGTCCAGTTAGTATTTTTATATCACCATTTACATCTGCTAAAACCTGTTCCAAATTCTGAATATTAGCTTCATAAGAACTATTTGGCCTTGGATAACCAGCTTCTCTTAATAAATTAAGATCATTACCTACAAAGTTTTTTTTCTAAATTTAATACTCTAACATTTCTTCTTGGTTGTGCTTCCCTTTGGTCGTCGCCTTCATCTGGTGACCGGCGTTCTGGCACCCACTCTCTTTCCCAGGGGTCATCTGGTAATTCTCTCATATCAGCTAATTGATCAAACTGATTAGCGGCCGCTGCAATAGCCCGCTGATTGGCTCTAGCTTCTTCTGTAAAAGCGCGCTGATTTTCAAGCATTTCTTGGTTTTGAGTAAAAATATTTTTTGTTTTATATTCTTCCTTTTTAATTGGATCATCATAATCCTCTGGTTTTTCAAACTGGGAAATCAGAGGTTTAAAAGACTCACGAAAAACTTCTCTCTGATTCTGTTTTTCCCAGGTGGTTTCCTTTATTCGTTTTCTCACCTGTTTGGCAATAGCATCGGATTCAATCTTATTTTTAGCCCAAGTTTTGATTTCGTTAATATCCATTTTATTTAATGTACATATTAGATAAATGGAAATACCAAACTATGTTAGCATCGATGACAATGATAAAAAATTCAAACAGTTATATTCTTATATGCCATCAGACACATTTCGAATGTTGATTTGTGGAAATAGTGGAAGTGGTAAAACTAATTTGTTGTATCATATGCTAATTAAACCACTGTTGTTCTACGATGAGATTTATCTCTGTGTGCGTAATTTAGAGCAGCAAAAGTATCAAAAGCTGATTCAAAAAATGAGAGAGTTTTCCCATAAACTAGGATATGAAGTACTTCATGTGAGTAATGATGAAATAACCCCAGTAACAGAACTGGATTACGAAGACAACCAAAAACTTGTGATATTTGATGATTACGGCTGTGATAAAAACCAAAGACAAATCATTGATTATTTCATTGAAGGACGACATAAGAATTGCTCAGTAATCTACCTCAGTCAGTCGTTTTACAAAACTCGAAAGGATATTCGGCTGAACTGTTCAAACTACTGTTTATACGAATTTCCATCATCGCGAGAGGCAAACAGAATATCATCTGAGTTGGGAGTTGATAAAGCGCATTATAAGGCAGCAACTAGAAAACCGTACACATTTCTCTATGTTGATAAACCAAAGAAAGTCATTTCAAAAAACTCCACTGATTATATATGCAATAATTAAAATGGGAATATTTAACGAACATTCTTATAATCATCCTTTTGCCCGCGGAATTCAAGGCACTCCAGGAGTTGGATTTAGTCTCACCGCAGATGGAAATTATGATATGGTTGGTAAAAAACTAAGAAATGTTGGTGCTCCGGCATCCAACACCGACTCGGCAACAAAGAAATATCTTGATGAGAATTCTGGCGGTTGAAAAACATCATTATTAACAGTTGATTCCAACGTTGATATGAAAGATACATACCGTATTCTAAACCTTAAATCTCCATCTGATGCAGATGAACCAGCCACAAAACAATACGCTGATTCAAGATTCTTTTTTAGAAATG